AGATTGTTGAATGTATTTTATGTAACTGGAAAGAATAGCAAGAAAAGACTGTGTCTTGCACTGGTGATCATATAATAAAACACAGTAGATGGTGCAGAGTGGTCGCACCATCAAAATCTCACTGGGAAAAATATCAGTTGTCTTGACTATATGACTTGTAAACAGATTGTATATGAACAACATATTAAAGAAGGAAATGGCAGCATTTCTGTCCTGGTTAGTATTTGGGAGGGCACATTTGCCAAGACTGAAGAGTATATTGGAAAGTTAAAAACCAACATAAAACCATGAAATAGCAAACCTCTTCTGTACTGTTACTGAGAAAGCAACATGGATATGTCCATGAAGTCATCCGGAGTCATGCCAGCTCAAGTAAGGCTTATCTTTTTAGAAAGTTTTGATGGGGTGGAAAAAGCAGAATTAGGTAAAACAAGAAAGCTTGATATTTTAGTGTTTGCATTAATTCCAGCTGTGAGGAATAAAAATTCAACTCCAAGGGTGTTGGAAAACAAAGCAAGTTTTATTAAAGCTTTTGCAAAAGCTGGTGGAACGCTTGGTAATGGCAAATTCCAGAGTCCACACCTGAATCAATTTTTGCATTGGTTTTTATACCATGTCCCATGCATCACACCACATCCTTCCAAAGTGAGCCCAGTTGATAGGCCCATCCAGTCACATATTTTCTGACCGCTTAGCAACCATTACAATTACCAAACCCTCCAATTATTAGATCAAAAAGTCCCCTTTCTTCCTGTCTTATCTTCCTTCTCTTTTCTCTGGCATGATTTGTAACATCCTACTAAGTAAGGGTATAGCCTTATCTACAAAATGAATTGTTACCCAAACTGGATAATTACAATTATAAAAGATTTATGTCTTCCCTTGTTTATCTATAAGAGTGCCTGCTTTTCATCTAGAAGCTATGTGTGTAATGGAGTTCATGCTTTGGTTAAACATGGCTGCACTTTGGTTCATAGTTATACTTTAAAATACTAACTCTAGGCAGTTTTTATAAAGAATAAACCTTATATAAATTGAATAATATGTTATTCATAAACTATAAGCTATTCTATAATAGTGTGCACTATTCTAAAAATATGCTTTAAGTCAATGTATATAGTTTCTTTCTATTCCTCCAGCTTATCATGTCTCCTTTCCTAAAAATACCATTGCTAAGTGCCTCTATATGCCTATTCCTTTAGCAGAAGTGGAAAATTACAACATGTACATTTCTTAGCTTTTGATAGAGTGAGATGAAGAATACCCTCAGTCTGTGGGGGTCTATGACAATTCACCATAGCCAATGGCCAACTCGCCACAACCAACTCACCATGGCCAACTCACCATGGGACAATTTGCCACAGGATAAGAGATACACTAATATCAAAGAAATAGAGCAGTGTTTCTCAACCTTGACAATTTTAAGGCATGTGGACTTCAACTCCCAGAATTCCACAGCCAGCAATGCTGGCTGTGGAATTCTGGGAGTTGAAGTCCACATGCCTTAAAATTGTCAAGGTTGAGAAACACTGAAATAGAGGAATAGAATCATTAAAGAAAGGAGCTGACAGTCAGATGAGCTGACTGTGGCAAATTGGCTGTGACAAGTTGGCTGTGACGAGTTGTCTCATTCTGCAGTCTGTGAGTGTCTGCATTATCAGTATCCTGTTACTTCAAGTAAGATGGAGGATCACCAAAGGGTGCAAAGGTTGTGTGTACCTGTGTGTGTGTGTGTGCGTGTGTGTGATAGCATCGGCAACATCTAGCTCTGGTTCTCAACCTGTTTAATGCCGCGACCCCCAACCGGTCGTAAGTCAAGGACTACTCAACCGGTCGTAAGTCGAGGACTACTCAACTGGTGCAGCACTGTTTGCAGAATGGGACTTTTGGCGGGCTCAGCAGGGCAGAGACAGCCTGGACAATTCCTATTGGCTTTTGAAAGCCAATAGAATTAGACTCTGTTCAAGAGAGTCTATTCTATTGGCTTTCAAAAGCCAATAGAATAAAAGAGAGTAGCACAGCTAAGGAAAAGAGGGAAAAAAATGGCGGACTGCGTTGTTTGGTGACCCCCGTGAAATGGTCATTCGACCCCAAATGGGGTCCCAACCCACAGGTTGAGAACCACTGTGCTAGAATGTCACCGCCCTTTTTCATATTTCTTCAGCTAGATGTCAACACTGCTAACATTGGATGTTCTTGCTTTGACAACATATTTTCTTTCTTATGCTTTACTCTTAGAATTAGATGATGCTGGGGGAGGAGGAGGAATGTGATGGGAGCTAGTTAGACATAACAATATTGTACTGAAGTGTGAATTCAGAGCTTGAAATAAGAGATGATAAGAAATGGCCAGATTGGAGAACAGGAGGGAAAGCCTGCATTTCAAACTAATTGGAGAATGTGATTTATGACTGTTAATTAGAGGAGGGAATTGTGTTTGATACTATGTGCCAAGAGGAGGGGGATTCAGATTTTGGCTTTATTTATGTATGTGCCGACGCCATGCTGTTCGAATAAAGATTCTTTAAGGTAAACAATGGTTATATAGTATATATATAGTCCAATGGCTGACTCTGTTGAGCTAGATCAGTGGTTCTCAACCTGTGGGTCGGGACCCCATTTGGGGTCGAACGACCATTTCACGGGGGTCGCCAAACAACGCAGTCTGCCATTTTTTCCCCTTTTCCTTAGCTGTGCTACTCCCTTTTATTCTATTGGCTTTTGAAAGCCAATAGAATAGACTCTCTTGACTAGAGTCTAATTCTATTGGCTTTCAAAAGCCAATAGGAATTGTCCAGGCTGTCTCTGCCCTGCTGAGCCCGCCAAAAGTCCCATTCTGCAAATGGTGCTGTACCAGTTGAGTAGTCCTCAACTTACAACCGGTTGAGTAGTCCTTGACTTACAACCAGTTGGGGGTGGCGGCATTAAAAAGGTTGAGAACCACTGCTATATACTAAGCCAGATAGATGTGAAAGAAATGTATCAATAGTGGAGATTTGGTGGGTGTCCATTTGGATTTTTATACAGCTGTTGTATATCAAAAGAGCTTAAGAGACTGTTCGGTTTCCTTGGCAGTAAAACAAGAATCCTGCTGAGACTTGTCTGATACTCAAGCAGTGTGAAAAACAATGAGATCAGCAGGCATTTTTCTAAGGTTCCACTTACTTAAATACTGTTTGTCTACTTTGGGAAGATGCTATGGCGAACCTGGTCATTCCTCCTGAGGACTGCATCCAAGATAAGAATTTTACTGAATGTAAACATTCATGAAGGGATTTTTTTTAATGCCTAGTTTGAAAGATCAAACTGAGAGGAAACTTTATTTTTATAAAATATGTTTTAATACTTAGCCTTGGGGTTTGAAACTTTCTGGACTTTGCATCCCCAGCACAGGATACCTTAAATCTATCATCTGTCTTCAGTGTGAAGTTAAAATGAAACACATTTGAAAAAGAACTTCATTGCAGGTTCGTGGTTAAATATGATGTTGCATTGACAGGCTAAAATCATGAGTCGGACTTTTGGTGACTAGTTCTTGGATGCTAAGTGAAAGAAAGCATTCTTGTAAACATTTTATTCTAGATACAATTCTAGGCCTCTCTAAATAAGCAGGACTCTTAATACATTATTATGTGCTGAAGTCAAAATGCTAGCAATAGGGAGAGGAAGAGGGAGTGTCATTCGGAAGTACAGTTGTCATTTTGTTAGACTGAATATTTCTAGCCACCTCCTCACCACATAGTAGGGAACAATTTAACTTCCTCTATAATTCTGTTACTTTAGGACAGAGTTTCTCATCAACCTCAGCAACTTTAAGACATTTGGATTTTAACTCCCAGTTGGGGAATTTGCTAGTTGGGAATTGAATCAACATGCTTAAAGTTACTGAGGTTGATGAGAAACATTGTTCTAGGGACATGGTGGAAATTCAAGTCTCTCCCATCCTAGTAATGTTGGTAAGAGAAGACAGGTTGATTTAATCTCCAAGCAAATGTTGTGTCATGGTTCCGACAGATGAAACTCTTCAAAGAACTTTGAGGCATTGTTTACCTTAAAGAATCTTTATTCGAACAGCATAGCTTCGGCACATACATAAACAAAGCCAAAATCTGAATCCCCCTCCTCTTGGCACATAGTATCAAACACAATTCCCTCCTCTAATTAACAGTCATAAATCACATTCTCCAATTAGTTTGAAATGCAGGCTTTCCCTCCTGTTCTCCAATCTGGCCATTTCTTATCATCTCTTATTTCAAGCTCTGAATTCACACATCAGTACAATATTGTTATGTCTAACTAGCTCCCATCACATTCCTCCTCCTCCCCCAGCATCATGTAATTCTAAGAATAAAGCATAAGAAAGAAAATATGTTATCAAAGCAAGAACATCCAATGTTAGCAGTGTTGACATCTAGCTGAAGAAATATGAAAAAGGGCGGTGATGTTCTAGCAATTGGGAATATATATATATATATATATATATAAATTACATTAAAAATTGAAGAATAGCGATTCCTGGGTACATACATTTCAGTAAAAAAGGAAGCAATCACCAGGAAATATGTTGGTTCCTCTTTTTTGACTGAGTTCTTATGTTCTTCAATGTGTGCACTTATTCTTCTGTTGGTTTGTCCGATGTATGTGTTGGGACAAGCATGCCTGGGATTTCATATACTCCTTGATTTTCTAACTCAATTTTATCTTTGGGGTTTCTTAGGATAGTGGATATTTTTCTGTTTGTGCAGAATGCTGTTTTGATGTTGTGTTTATGGAGGATCTTACTGATTCTGTCTGTGGTGCCTTTTATGTATGGGAGGAGGGCTTTGCCGTTTTCTTGTTCTTTGTCTTGGATTTTAGTGGGGGTTTCTTTTTGGATTAGGTTTGTAATCTTATTTCTTTGGAAATATATATAAAACCATGTATGGATGTTGGTGTCACTCTCCAGCCTCTCTTATTTTTATGAGTTTTGTTGACAGTCTTTCTGTCTGTTTCCTACCTAGACCTAAAACTATACTGAGCACCAATGACTAGGGGTTGATCTACACTTCCTCCTACTGATGCCAGCATGAGGACGTGCCACTTACCATTGTGGGAGAGCAGAAATGAGTGATGTCATCCTCAATCTACTCCAAGTTGACTGGGAGAGTAACTACTGCCCAGATTTTTTAGTTCCATTTGAAAGGTAATATTTTTTTCCCTTTCCACGTGTACAAGCAGAAGACTTTGCTTGCTCAGCTTCATTCTGTCTCATGCAAATGCCTCCATTCTACTTTGCTGGTGTGTGCCATAGCAGATATATATGTCCCCTCCACTCCTAGAATCATAGAATAATAGAATTGGAAGGGACCTAGGAGGTTTTCTAGTCCAACCCCCTGTACAAGAAGGAGACACTATACCATTTCAGACAAATGGCTATCCAGTGTTTTTTTTGGGTTTTTTTTTTTGAAAGCCTCCAATGATGGAGCGCTCACAACTTCTGAAGGCAAGCTATTCTACAGCTGTTAGGGAATTTCTCCTTAGTTTTAGGTTGTTTGTCTCCTTGGTTAGTTTCCATCCATTGTTAGACATGACAATCCTGCCAACAATATCCATCCTCTGCCTTTGATGGTCATTTCCAACTGGGGTGGTTCACTGCCATGAAAACCTGGACATTTGGACTCTTCTTTCTTCTTTCTTCCGAGGTGGCTCAGCAGTTAGAGTGCAGTACTGCAGGCCACTTTAGCTGACTGTGTTCAGCAGGTCAGCGGTTCAAATCTCACCAGCTCAAGGTTGACTCAGCCTTCCATCCTTCCAGGGTAGGTAAAATGAGGACCCAGATTGTTGGGGGGCAATGTAAATATATATATACATTGCTTACTGGTGTACACCGCTTAGAGAGTGCTTGCACTTAAAGCGGTATATAAGTCTCATAAAATAAATAAATAAATAAATAAATAAATAAATAAATAAATAAATAAATAAATAAATAAATAAATATATTACTTAAAGTAAAACAAAATTTTCAGTAAATGGAATTGTGAAATACTGGCCAAATTTTTATTGTTGTTCCTTTTCATGCCTTTAGAGGTGAACTGCAAAATGCTGGCTATATTTTCATTTCGTTTTGTTTTGCTTTGTTTCCTTTAACGGGGTAAAATTGACAGAGTTCTGCCAAATTTCTCTTCCAGCCCCCGCAATTGGAAGAGCAATGAAATGGCAGCTATTCTTTTTCTTTTTCATTTTTTTAATCCATCCTCAAAAGACATGTCTTTAGAAGGGAAAGCAATTGCCATTGGCTTTCCTGATATGGGGCTGGAGGGGGAAAAAAGTAGGGAAATCTAGCAGTTAACAGCTGTGTAAACACCAAGCTGTTACTCTAGCAAAAGGGGAGAAAGGGACTGAAATGCAGAAATGGATTTCTTAAACCAAATTAATTTGCAGTGGTGTTATGCATGGGAGACAAGCAGCTGAAAGCTACATAAGGTTAAAACTTGGCCTTTCATAGTTTTATCTAGAACTGTATCCATTTGCATGCAGATTATAAATTCTACTTTTGAACTACTGTCCTTCCTTTTTACCTTCCCATTTAATAATTTGGATTTTTTTTAAAAAATTCAAAATTGATGTGTACTCAATCCCCATTATATGACCTTCCAAGGCCCTTCTGTCATTGACTACTGAAAATGGTTAGCTATTTTGATCAGGAAAATACCTGAAACCTGTCAAATAAGCATATTAGCAAAACAAAGAAATCTTAAAATCTGGCCTCAAACGTATCTGTATTCAGGGGTGAGGTAGCCTTGTCCGTTTTGCAAAATTAATGACCTGTCCCAAATGATGAGATTTCTGGCAACCATAGGTTTTCCCTGTTCTAACTAAGGAATAAAATGGAATAGGATTTAGCTGCTTGGTTGAATTAAGTAACATAATTCCTGCCAACAGGTGAGCTAAAAATATTTTTTTTGCTTCAGACTGATAACATAATTTTTCAATGATGGCACAGAATGCATTTTTTGTGTGCAACCTTTGGATAAATCACTCAGCTGATGACAGACTTTTGCCTACTTCTGCAAAAATTGGTTTGCAAATTTCACAACAGTCCAATAAAAATCAGAGAATTACAAAATAGAGAAATGTATCCAACATCCTAATATCCTCGGATGATCATTTATCACCCTGGTTGTATCTCACATCTTTATTGGAACTGGTGGACTGTTCTCAAGAATGACTCAAGTGCTTTTTTTTTTTTTTTAGACATGTTGAAATCCATTTATAAGCAGGTGTAATTATAGGAATGGCAAGATTATAACAATGAATTACATCAAGGGTTGGGTTATTTTGAAATAAGGGAATTATAAACAGACATCTCAAATGCTTTGGTACAGTGTGTAGTGGGGTGCCCCAGGCCTCTGTTCTGGGCCCAGTGAATGGTTGTAAGTTGAGGACTACTTGTAATTAATTTGCTTAAAGCAGCCCACCAACATTATAATTATTCCTTTTCCCATTGCTTGTTACTGATCAAGTGGGCAATTTCAATTGCCAATTAACTGTATAGCCAAGACGCAACCAGCTGCTTATCCTGGTGCCAAGAAGTGGTAGCTCCTTCAGTCCTCAAAGGTCAAACAACATGTGATTAGCCCCAGGGCTCTGTTCTGGGCCCAGTGCTCTTCAACATCTTCATCAACGACTTGGATGAGGGGATAGATGGGGAATTCATCAAATTTGCTGATGACACCAAGCTGGCAAGAATAGCCAACACTCCAGAAGATAAGCTTAAGATATAGGAGGATCTGGACAGACTTGAACACTGGGCACTATCTAACAAAATGAAATTCAATAGTGAAAAAAATAAGGTTCTACATTTAGGCAAGAAAAACCAAATGTACAGGTATAGTATTGGGGGTACCTTGCTCAATAGTAGTAACTGTGAGAGGGACCTCGAAGTCCTAGTTGACAGTCACTTAAATATGAGCCAGCAGTGTGCTGCAGCTGCCAAAAAGGCCAACATAGTGCTAGGCTGCATTAACAGAGGGATAGAATCAAGATCACGTGAAGTATTAATATCACTTTACAATTCCTTGGTAAGGCCACACTTGGAATACTGCATCCAGTTTGGTCACCACGATGTAAAAAAGATGTTGAGACTCTAAAAAGAGTACAGAGAAGAGCAACAAAGATGATTACGGGACTGGAGGCTAAAGCATATAAGGAACGGCTGCTGGAACTGGGTATGTCTAGTTTAATGAAGAGACGGACAAGGGGGGACATGAAGCAACAGATGGAAACTAATCAAGGAGAGAAGCAACCTAAAACTAAGGAGAAACTTCCTGACAAAACAATTAACCAGTGGAACAACCTGCCTCCAGAAGCGATGAATGCTCCAACACTGGAAGTTTTTAAGAAGAGACTGGATAGTCATTTGTCTGAAATGGTATAGAGTTTCCTGCCTGAGCAGGAGGTTGGACTAGATGACCTCCAAAGTCCCTTCCAACTTTATTATTATTATCGATCATCGCAGTCAGCCAGATGTTCAGACTGGATTTGGCATTTTGTCTACCTATCGAGTCCATACCCAGGACCTGGGATAGGCAGATGTGGATGTTTGATGGTATTACAGATATCGTCGCAGGATGGAAGCAGTTCCTAGTAAGGCCGCCTTTTGCAATTGACTAGGAACTGCTTCCATCCTGCGACGATATTATTATTATTATTATTATTATTATTATTATTATTATTATTATTAGTATAAAAAAATGAAATGAACAAAACAGTTAATGACAAGCAAATGATAATTATTTAGTTGTTGCATGGTATCATAGATATTGGATAGGTTTGACATGTTCAGGAAACATAAAACAACAGGTCAATGGTAAGGTAATACCCTGAGAAATAATATAAGTTATTTATTGTGGCCAAAAATAAAAAGCCAAAGTGCGTAAAACTGTTAATGACAAGCAAATGATAATTACATAGTTGTTGCATAGTATCACAGATGTTAGATACATTTGACATGTCCAGGAAATATGAAATAGTTCAGTAATACTCTGAGAAATAGTATTAGTTATTTATTGTAATCAAAAATAAAAAGAAGAAATGCATAGCACTTTTAATGACAAGAAAATTATTATTTAGTTGCATAGTGTCATAGATGTAGGATAGGTTTGACATGTTCAGGAATTATGGAACAACACTGGTTCATTGGTAAGAATACTCTGAGAAATAGTATTTATTGTGGTTAAATAATGTCAATTTCAAGAAAGATTAAAAACAGACAATCTGACTGTACACATTCTGCAGACAATATAGCAGAACTTAGGAAAAAGAGAGAGAAGTCATTCTGGTAGTAGAACAGAACAAATCTCAGTGTCCTGGAAATTAACTGTTAATGGAAACATATAACATGTGCAACTGTCCCTATAGAGAACATAATACAGGAAAATGACTATGGTTTCAATTAGATCCAGCTTACATGGATATAGCTGCTTTTTATATGGAATTTTCTTATATTTACCTTCCAGTGTGGTGGTTGGCAACATGTTAAATGTGCTGATGTCTTCAACAGTTGCTGGAATTGGGTATGTCTAGTTTAATGAAGAGAAGGATGAGGGGGGACATGATAGCAGTGTTCCAATATCTCAGGGGCTGTCACAAAGAAGAGGGAGTCAAGCTATTCTCCAAAGCGCCTGAAGGCAGGACAAGAAGCAACAGATGGAACTACTACTACTACTACTACTACTACTACTACTACTACTACTACTACTACTACTATAACTTGTTTTCCAAAGGACCAGAAGGCAAGACAAGAAACAATGAATGGAAACTAACCAAGGAGAAAAGGAACCTGGAATTAAGGAGAAACTTCCTAACAGTGAGAACAATTAATCAGTGGAACAGTTTGCCTTCAGAAGTTGTAGGTGCTTCATCACTGGTGGTTTTTAAGAAAAGACTGGACAGCTATGTGTTTGAAATAGTACAGGGTCTCCTGCTTGAGCAGGAGGTTGGACTAGAAGACCTCCAAGGTCCCTTCCAACCGTATTCTGATCAATCGATTTCAAGCATTTAATTTAACTTATATATCTAGCGGTACTGAAAGTAATAAATTGAATACCTAGACCAGGGGTAGGCAACCTTGGCTCTTTTATGACTCGTGGACTTCAACTCCCAGAATTCCTGAGCCAGCATGGCTCAGCTTGGAAACCTCTC